AGAAAATAATGAGAGGTAGAGACAAGAGCTGATCGGAGAGTAAATGTCCCATCTAAGGAGGAACATTACCATTTCCCATGTTGCCATTTGGAACTTGGGCCTACTGTTCCTAGATCTTCCAATTTCTTGATAGAAAAAAGAATCTGAATTTTTTACATTCATGACTTGGGGAAATAGAATAAATTCCACAATGTACTATTAATACATTCTGGAAGTACTCAGTTAAATAAAGTTCTAACCACAGACTTTATTGGTGTCCTTAATTTATTAATATACATTGCAAAGAGATATTGTGATTAGCATTTCTCTAACTTAATTGATAAATGAATCCTTTCCTCATGCAATAGCTCGAGGGATAAGCTTTCATTGGTGTATACATGGAAAATGCTTATTTATGCATAAGTCAAATGCTTATTTGATCTTATCAACTTCTTTATTTCCTTTTTGAAAATTTTAGTACGAATATTTCTTGTAGCTTATGAGTCATAGTTGATCACACACACACACACACACACACACACACACACACACACACACAGAGCTAATTTTGTTAGATGTTCTAACATCTAATGTCAGATCTGGCCAAAATATAAATGTAGCATTTATTAGTCTTCCAACTTGTTAAATACTGAGTGGAGTCTTGACCGTCTCGTTGATGAAGAAACACGAGTGAAATCACAGGAACACTGAATAATGTTATTTCTCAACTTCTCTCCCTTCTTCACCTGGTGGGCTACAGAATTTAGAGACAGGAAGGACAGCCAGTTCCTACTACATACTTGGCAAACCTTTGTTTTACTTATCTATGAGGAAGGAAGCTGGGAGAAGACAAATAAATCTGGAATGGAAGTTTTGTAATAAAAAAGACAAGACTAATATTGTTTCAGGTCTTTAAAAATATTCCCTAGGATATACTAAAACATTTCAAGTACAAGGCTCATCTCTGAAGAATTAGAGTGTGTAGTCTGTAAAAGAGCTCACAGTACAGTACATTAATATGTGTGTGTGTGTGTGTACATATATTTATGTCACATATTATTAAAAAGTTCCATAAACATTTAGAAGAGGGAAAGGGCAATGTAGGTTTGAGAGGCCAGTGAAAGTGTCCCATGAGTGGTCCCTGAAGCATAGGCAGGTATCAGGTTGAGAATGGGATGGTAGGAATTCCATGCAGAGAAAGAGATATGGCACTTTTAGGAAGACTGTACAGGTTGGGAGGGAAATGGGACACTGAGGCTGGCTACTGAATACCAAGTAAAAATATGGCCTTAATTGTGTAGGTAGCTAAGAGTCTTTGAAGGATTCTGAGCATGAATCTGCCATATTCAGGGAATTTGATCTTATGAGGCCCTGGTGAGAAGGTGAGACAGAGTACTCTGCAGGATCTTGGTTGAGGTGATAAAAGTTTGGGCTAAGGAGTGAACAGTAAGAATAAAATAAATTATGGTCTTTGGAGAAAATAATCAATAGAATTTTTTAACCTTTTGAATGTTAGAGAAGCAAAGTGGAAAGGAATGGCTTTGATCTAGGTCAATAACAGAATGATTATCCCAACAGCAAACTGGTTCACACATATTGATTTAAGGTGGCAGTGGTACATTTAAGTAGAAATGCTCAATCGATTAATTAGTAATTTAGAGCTAGAACATGAAAGGAGAGACAAATAAAGTACACAAAGGCATCGCTGTATTCTCAGCTATGTGCTAGATCCTTTACCTGTATGTTTAATTTAGGAGAGAAATAGGGATGTACTTTGCAATTTGGCACCATCTTGCATAGATGTTAGTCAAATCAGGAGAATGGTAACATTCAATGAAGACTAATTCATCACAATTTCTCTCTGTCCCTTCACTATTAAAACAGTCACCACACAAAAACAAATGCCTATAAAAACACTGTATCATATCACATCACAAGATCACTGAAAATACTGATTTCCACAAGATAATTCTGCATTCTAGGAAGTAATTGAGATGGGGGGAGGGGGAGAACAGAACTGTAATTGTTCTGTCTTTCCTTCTTTCCCTTGAGAAAGATGAAAAGACACAAAACAGGAGGCAGGAAGGAACCAGAGGAGAAAGTATCTGGGAGAGTTCCCACTTGCTGAGGTAAACAGGAATGAAAGCAAACTCTTTCTCTATACAATAATAAACATCTGAGCACGGTCTCCTCGTTTCCTAGAATTCATTATCCATTTATGAATAGATTATTTTATTCCCATCATAAACCTTTCCACTCACAGGCCAGCTGGGCATCACACATTCCACCTTCACACTCCCTCTGACAGAACAGAGTCTCAGTTTTTCTTTGTTTTGCAAGCTAGTCCTGGAGCTCAGGTGCAACAGGCAGATCAACAAGGATGACGGATGTTTCTAAGGCGGCCATCAGTTTTCCATTTGCTACAATGCACCAGGGTGAGCTAGGTCCATTCCTTCTTTCCTCTAGCTGCCAGAAAGGCCATGCTGCTGAAAATGTCTCTCCATTTAAATGCCCAAAGCAAGAGGAAAATGGAGAAGCCATAACAAGAAAGGACAGGAAGAGCAGGTGACAGGTAGACTAAAATGGATAAATTCAGAAAACATCTCCTCAGCACACAGTGGTTCTTTAATATAAATATGTTTTCATTCATGGTACTTTACTTCCCTTTTCTTTACAAATGCAATGCAATAAACATTATATCTGTGTGTACTCACAGACTTACTTAATAGCATAACTGCTTCTAATAAACAGAATGTAGATGTCCTCTTTGAACTCTATAACAAAGGACAGCAATGTCAAAATTCTCTAAAGTCCATAGTAGAAATATCTGTTTAGAATCTGCAAAAGATATAAACATAAGGAATCCCTGACTCTTATAGATTTTCCTTGAGTCTCTTGCTGAAGTGCGAGAGGGAGAGCTGGGAGGATTTGTAGACTGAATGTTCTGCAAGGAACAAGTCCAGAAGTGCATTCCCACCATCTAAAAGAATGAATTCAGCTTTAGCCAGTTTGGCTCAGTGGATAGAGCGTCAGCGTGCTGACTGAAGGGTCCCGGGTTCCATTCCGGTCAAGGGCACATGCTTGAGTTGTGGGCTTGATCGCCAGTAGGGGATCAATGCAGGAGGCAGTCGATCAATGATTCTCTTCCATCATTGATGTTTCTATCTCTCTCCCTCTCCCTCTCCCTCTTGGCAATCAATAAAAATATATTTAAAAAATAAAAGAATAAAATCACAGGCCCAGGTCTATATTATAGACAACTGAATAACTGATGTTTGTACTTCTAGAAACCAGCCAATATATATTTTTTTGTTTTTTTAAATTTAAATTCTTCATTGCTTAAAGTATTACATATCTCTTTTTCCCCCCCATTGACCTCTCCAGCTGCTTTCATCCCCAAGCACATATCCTCATACCCCTGTGTGTCCATTGGTTATGCTTATATGCATGCATACAAATCCTTTGATTGATCTCTCTCTCTCTTTTTTTTTTAATATATATATTTTATTGATTTTTTACAGAGAGGAAGAGAGAGGGATAGAGAATTAGAAACATCAATGAGAGAGAATCATCGATCAGCTGCCTTTTGCACACATCCCCACTGGGGATGTGCCTGCAACCAAGGTACATGCCCTTGACGGGAATCGAACCTGGGAACTTTCAGTCTGCAGGCTGATGATGCTCTATCCACTGAGCCAAACCAGTTTCGGCTGATTGATCTCTTAACCACTCCCCATCCAACTCTCCCCTGCCTTCCCTCTGAAGTTGGATGGTCTGTTCAATGCTTCTTTGCTTCTGGATCTATTTTTGTTCATCAGTTTATATTGTTCATTATATTCCACAAATGAGTGAGATCATGTGATATTTATCTTTCTCTAACTGGCTTATTTAGCTTAGTATGATGTTCTCCAGATCCATCCATGCTTTTGCAACTGGTAAACGTCCTTTTTTTTTTTTTTTAATAGCAGTGTAGAATTCCATTGTGTATATGTACCACAGTTTTTTAATCCACTAATCTGCTGATGGGCACTTAAACTGTTTCCAAATCTTACCTGTTGTAAATTATGCAGCTGTGAATATAGGGGTGCACATATCCTTTCTGATTGGTGTCAGGCAATAAATTTTGAACACATAAAATAGGAGGGAAAAACCCTTGTAAAAATGTTTACTAATTGAATGTCCCCTTAAAGAAAAAGATTTTATAAAAAGTTAACAACACTGGATTACTGTGAACTTCCATTTACACAACAAAAATCCTATCACAGATAATATTATAATGGTAACTAGCAATACAGAGATAAGGACTGGACAACACAGTCACCTGTTTTGACAATGAAGACAATTCATATGACTAATCCCCACACTCTGTGGAATAGCCACTGAGGTAGCAATGAATTAACTCCGAAAACAAAAATAGCTTACAGAGTTGGCTCAATGAGATAATTGAGCAACAATAAATCACTTTCTCTATTGACTTTAAACATTATTTTCTGAGTTTTTACTGCCCTTAATCTCATGATACTACAATTTTATTTATAATCTAATTCTTGAATTTGTTACCAGATTCCATGAAACACCAAACAGAAGTCAGTGCTTTGCAACCGGTGAGAGTTATAGGAAGGAAACCCTTGCCTTTCTATCTCCACAGATGAAGAGAGGGAGAGCACAACATTCAAGGTCCAATGGCTGGCTCCTGCCTCCAGGTGAAGAGCGGGAAAATTCTCCAGGGCTATTAGTTACCTTTCTTGTGCTCTGTGCTCTAAAAAAGGGTCCTACATAACAACAACAACAACAACAACAACAAAACACACACACACACAAAAAAAACCCTGAAAACAAAACAAAACAAAAAAACACAAGAGCAGGATCCTCTACTCCAGATAGATCTACAGAAATTAGTGAGTTTTCCTGTAGAATAAAAATCTTCAGAACAAAATTTCAGAATGATTAGCAACCCCATCATATCCTATGATACCGTGTTTGCACAAAATAACAAAATGCACTTTATACTCCTCTCTTACCTGTCTACTCTCTCTTTGGGAGGACGTTGAAGAGGAGGCACTTCTGTGTGTCGGAGTGGAGGTTTTGTGAGCAGGGGAGACGCCCTTCTCGTCTGAACTCATTGCTGCAGTTGGAGTCTAGTTGTGTGCACTTAAGTTCATTCCAATTGCGTCTCAAATTCAGAAAAAGAAGTAGATGAGTTTTCAGCTTCAGTCCATTTCAAAACTCTGGGTGGACTAGAAAAGAGAAGGTAAATACTGAGGGTGTCCAAAACATCTGAAAGCAAAACAAACAAAATATAACTCATGTAAATTTATATTTAGGAAAAATACTAAAATGTTAGTGAGAGGAATTCTGACACATTAGGAAATATTTCTTCTTCTTCATTTTTAAGGTGGAGACTAAAAGTGTTGATATGTAACAAAAGTCTGTCCAGAAGGAAAATGGAAAGAAACTTTATGTTCAAGTCATACTTTTCTCTTGTAATCTTTGTTTTTATTTATTTACTTACTTACTTACTTATTTTAAATACATTTTTATTGATTTTAGACAGGAAGGGGGAGGGAGAGAGAGAAACATCAATGGTGAGAGAGAATTATCTATTGGCTACCTCCTGCACATGGGAATCTGGGTATATGCCATGACTGGGAATCAAACCATGACTTCTTGATTCATAGGTTGATGCTCAATCACTGGGCCATGACAACTGGGCTGTAATCTCTTTGTTTTAAACATGTCAAAGTACATCAGTTTTTTTCCTCTGAAATTTAATTTCCCCTGCTCAATGGATTATAATAAGAGCTCATTCCATGTTTGTCTCCAATTAAGTTCAGTCATTTCATGCATATTATAATTAAATCCAACATAAGATAGTCCGTCACAAAAGGCAAAAGGGCTCCTGCTTTTTGTGTGTCATGTGATTCAGCCATTCGAAGGTTTGAAGTAATACATATATCCACAGTTATTTTGTGCTTCAAGTCTACAGAATACCTATATGTGACTTTCTCAAAACAACAATCAACAGGATTGAAAGCATCCCCAGAACTGGAATAGTGCTAGGAGTTACTTCACTTATCCACAGTCAAAGAGTACTTCATTTTTCATTTAGATTCATATAAGGAAAATCTGTATTGTAGCAGCAGGGCTAAAAACAGTTCAATTGGCAACACAGGCTGCTAAAAGAAATCATTTTAAAGGTAATCATGGCAGTGTGAGATGTAACGCTTACACACCAATCTGTGACTCCAAACATTGACCACAAAAATGAACTTTATCCTCTTCTAAGAAGATGAAAGGCCAAGTTCTAGTCCCCATCTTAATGCTTATATTCCTTGAAAGTACTTACCCATGTTTGGTAGCTATCAGAAATGCAAAGACTGTAGAGCCCTTTTCTAGTTTTGAAGCTAATAGAAATGTAAAGAGCTTATTCTTGGCTCAAGGTAACTTTCATTTGGTATTGGCAAAAGGTAGTCATAAACTGACACTGAAGTAATCATCCAATCCTTTTTTTAATGAAAGCAGTCTAATAAGTGTGAATAAAATTTCTCAAGCCAAACTCTGGTGCCAGCAAACAGAAAGCAAGAACACTGCTCAGATCCTTAATTTTAAGCACTTCACTTTCTGGTCTAAGATGTTTTACAAGTAGATGCTGACACTTGAGCTGAAAGTATGGAGGTTCTGTGATGTGCTCAAGTGCCCCCAAGGGATGAGGTTGAGACGACCAAACTCATTAAATTGTTATCCATTTGGAAGTAAATTCAATCTAAGCTACATCAAAGGCCAACATTTTCTCTGTGGCAATGTTGAAATTTCTTAACCACATCCGACTTCACTTTCTGATTAAAAATAATGCTAACATCTTGGTTTTGGTTTTAACTAAAAATGACATTTTCAGGGTAACTTGTCTATGATGAAAGAGCAACATTTTGGTTGAATCATAATTATGAATAACTATAATAATATCAAGAATGAAGAAAAGATGAAAGAATTTATTCCATTCCAAGAATTGTTTCTGAGGTTGTTGTTTTTTCTATTAATTTTTATTATAAAATTTTTTTTCAAGTACCTAAAAAAAGGTTGAATGGGATCAAAATGCATTACAAAAGGAAGTATGAACTCTGTTATCAGGTTGCATCTACTTGTAAGAATGGCTGTGACATTAAAAAAAATACTTATTTCACCCTACCCGATTTGGCTCAGTGGATAGAGCCTCGGCCTGTGGGTCCCAGGTTCGATTCGGGTCCCAGGTTCGATTCGGGTCAAGGGATATGCCTTGGTTGCAGGCATATCCCCAATAGGGGCTGTGCAGGAAGCAGCTGATCAATGTTTCTCTCTCATTGGTGTTTCTAACTCTCTATCGCTCTCCCTTCCTCTCTGTAAAACTTAATAAAATATATTTTAAAAATACTTATTTCATCTTTATCAAAAGACATTTTCAGGAATTGCCTAATCAACATTCTACACCAAAAAAAAAAAAAAAAAAAAAAAAAAAAAAAAAAGACCATAGATTTAAAGTCAACACCAACATAATTTTTATACTCAATGAGAAAAGTATTGTAGCTGGAAATCACATCAATAAGAAAGATGAATATCTAATTTTTCAGTCTCATCACTCCTTCTTATCAATGGGATCATTATAATGGTTTCTAGGTACTGTAACATTTGCATTTACACCAAGTGACATAAAATTCTGATTTAGGGTCCCGGCCAGTGTGGCTCAGTTGGTCAGAACATTGTCCTATATATTGAAGGGTTGCGGGCTCGATTACCACTTAGGCACATACTTAGGTTGCAGTTTCAGTCTCAGGTCGGGGCACATATGGAAGATAACAAGCTGATGTTCTCTCTCACATTGATGTGAAGCATAGTAACCTCCATCTTGTGTAAAAACTGCTGTTTGAAATTTTAACCCTGATATTTGGCTTCTGTAAATGCTTGACTGCTTAAATAATAAGAAAAAATAAGACTACTCCCATTCCAGAGAGGCCATAAACTATGCCCCAGACAGTGTTGTCAGTGTTCGCGCCAGGCCAGGCCTTGAAATATGGTCTCACGGCTCAGTGCCAGCACACAGGACTTTTTTTCTCAGAAGGCCCTGAAGTCTCATCCCAAATTTGGAAGACAAAAAGCTGAAAAAATATATAAATAGGGAAGACTTCCACCATTTTGGGGCCCAGAATTTGACAGAGATATTCCACTCTAAGCCCACTACTGATAGCATAATAAAGACTCCAAATTAATTTGGTTTATTGATTAAGGTGTCTCATGTCAGCTCGCTGATTTACAAAATAACACATGTTTCTCTCTTTCTCCCTCTTTCTCTAAAAATCAGTAAGTATATCCTCAGAAGAGGATAAAAAAAAATTCAGATTTATGACCCAGGGACCTAACTAAAGCAAAGGGTGGCAGAAAGACTTTTAGAACTTGTTCTTCATAGGTATTATAACTTGTATGTGTTTCAGAAACACATTTGGAACTGGGAACTAGTTAGCCTGAGCTAAGTTGTGATGTAGCAGCACAACTGCAAAATTTCAAGTCCTTACAAGAAAGGTTTATTTCTTACTATTTACATGTCATTTATAGGTCAGTTGCAGCCCTGCTCTGTATCTCTTCATCCAGGCTGAAGAAGCAACTCCCACATGAAGGAGGAAGGAGCCATGGCAGAACCTTGAGATAGTTCTGAATGCCTTTGCTTGAGATGACTCATGTTACTTTCACTCACATTTTATTGGTCCAACTCTTACCTCCTGTTTTAGGATTTGCTGGCTCTTGGGATTATGCATTGAATTGTTCTCAGAACTGAATCTTCAAAAAATTATTATTGGAAGATATTAGGGAATACTTCTTATCCTGAACAATCAAACTACCACTTATACTGTTTCCCCTAGTAATCCTTCTTCTCCGGACATCTGCTCATTTTATACTCACCAAAGCATAGTGGCCTTACAAAAAATTACGGGTAAAAAGTCAGCACAGCAAAAATATCATTTGAGGTCAAAGTCCTAAGAAGAGAATACCAAGAATCCAAGATGGCTGCCCAGGTAAACACCTAGCCTCAGCCGCACACAACAATTTCAATAAAATACAACTAAAATATAAAATGGACATTACCCAGAACTACAGGAAAGTCAACTGACTGGAAATTCTACAATGAGAAGCAAGGAGAAAATCAGAAGGAAGCGCGGAAGAGCTGTAAAAGCCTGAGGTACGGAGACACACGGCGCCCGTGGAGAGGACAGAGCCAGAGAGGAGGGCGGCTGAGTGCCTGGCTGGTGTTCCCTAGCAGGAAGGAGATAAAAGCTCCGACTGTGCTGGGCCCCAGTTCCGACTGCTCTGAACCCCAGTTCTAGGCCAGACCCCGGGGACCCAGGTTCAATCAGAAGGAGCTGGGCTATAAGGCAGAACCCCAGGGGAGTGGTGAAAGGAGGTCCCGGCGGAGCGCACATTGCGCGCAGAGAAGGGAAGGTTGGCTGTGCCGTGGGATTGCCCTGCGGGAAGGAGACAGGGGCTCCAGACTGCTCTGAATGCCACCTCCAATCCCACTACCAACTGAACTGAACCCCAGTTTCGGGCTCATTGGGGGAGAGCCTAGACTGTTTGGTAGCAGGCGAAAATCGAGGGCACCTTTCTCTCAGAGGCCCTTACTAAAGGACTCTGAGACCCAGGAGCCGCATAGGGCGGGGCTGACGGAAGACAAAGCTGTAAGCTCCACCCGGAAACCCCGCCCCATCTGTAGATGCAAAATGCGACAATGAAATAGATCACAAACGAAAGAAATGGAGGACAAATGGATATAGAGTTCAAATCTACGCTTATAAGGTTTTTCAAGAATTTCCTAGAAAAGATCGATAAGGCCTATGAAGATATGAAAAGAGATCAACTGAATTAATAAGGAATCAACAACAAATGATAAGGGATCAACAAGAAATGATAAGGGATCAACAAGAAATAAAGAATACATTGTCTGAAATAAAAAATATTATACTGAGTCCTAAAAACAGAATGGAAGATCGCAAGAATCAAATCAAAGATTTGGAAGATAAAGAGCCAGAAGACACTCCTCTGCAGAAGCAAGAAGGCAAGAGAATCCAGAAAATTAAAGATAATGTAAGAAACCTCTGGG